CCTTTAGCTTCCCATTTTTCCGCTAGGTTTCCGACTCTGTTTTCTTTGCATTTTCCCTAGAAAATCCACACATTCTCGCCTCCCCTTTCTTTTTCCTTCTTCTTATCCCCTTTTCGTAAAAATCCCGTCTTTGCAAATTGCATGGATAGGGAATAAAATTTTCGTTGTTGATTTTCAGATTTGGAAATTTTCCTTTTTTCTTTCTTTCTGGGTTTCTTCTGAATTGTAATCGTGGAGATTCTCGGATCAGGTAGGGCGGCGAGAGGTGGGTTTCACGGCGGCGATAGATTCATCTTCTTACTTCTTTTGAGGGGGTAGCCGAGGCTCCGGCCTCGGCGGTTTTTAAACCCCTACCTTCACAAAATCTGGGGGAAAAAAGTGTTTTTTGTTTGTTTGTTCGAGAAATTTTCTGTATTGTGATCGTTGTTGAAAGAGAGTGAAGAAGATGCCTGCTCTAGCTTGCGTTGATACTGGTTACTCTTTCTCCGGTGATAACTCCGGTGACGTGTTTATTCCGGCTTCACCAACTTCCGGTGACACCTCCTGTCATTGGTCTTCGTCTCTCTCAGCATCTCTTTACCGGATCGATGGTTGGGGAGCTCCTTATTTCACTGCGAATTCCTCCGGTAACATCTCTGTTCGTCCTCATGGTTCTGATACTTTACCTCACCAAGACATTGATCTGCTTAAAATCGTTAAGAAGGTTACAGATCCGAAATCCTCTGGTGGTTTAGGATTACAGCTTCCTTTAATCGTTCGTTTCCCTGATGTGTTGAAGAATAGGCTTGAGTGTCTTCAATCTGCTTTTGATTTCGCTATTCAGAGTCAAGGATATGATTCTCATTACCAAGGTGTGTTTCCGGTGAAATGTAATCAAGACCGGTTCGTTGTTGAAGATATTGTCAGATTTGGATCTTCGTTTAGGTTTGGTTTGGAAGCTGGTTCTAAACCTGAGATCCTTCTTGCTATGAGCTGCTTGTGTAAAGGTAATCCTGATGCCTTTCTTGTGTGTAATGGATTCAAAGATGCTGAGTATATATCTTTGGCTTTGCTTGGGAGAAAATTGGCTTTGAATACTGTGATTGTGCTTGAGCAAGAAGAAGAGCTTGATCTTGTTATTGATTTGAGCAAGAAGATGAGTGTGAAGCCTGTGATTGGGTTAAGAGCTAAGCTGAGAACTAAACATGAGGGTCATTTCGGTTCGACTTCTGGTGAAAAGGGCAAGTTTGGATTGACTACTAGTCAGATTGTTCGTGTTATGAGGAAGCTGAGCCAGACTGGTATGCTTGATTGTCTCCAGCTTTTGCATTTTCACATTGGTTCGCAAATTCCTTCGACGTCGTTGCTGTCTGATGGTGTAGCCGAAGCTGCTCAGCTTTACTGTGAGCTTGTGCGTCTTGGTGCACATATGAAAGTTATCGATATCGGTGGTGGATTGGGGATTGACTACGACGGGTCTAAGTCCGGTGAATCAGATCTTTCTATTGCGTATACTCTCGAGGAGTATGCTGAAGCTGTTGTAGCTTCAATTCGGTTTGTATGTGACCGGAGATCGGTGAAGCATCCGGTGATATGCAGTGAAAGCGGTAGAGCTATCGTCTCTCATCATTCCGTGTTGATCTTCGAAGCTGTCTCTGCGGTTAAACCAAGTGTTCATCAAGCGAGCCCCGACGATATTCAGTTCTTGCTCGAAAGTGACGAAGCACGAGCTAACTATGAAGATCTTTACGCTGCTGTGATGCGTAGAGATCACGAAAGTTGCCTCCTTTATGTGGATCAGCTGAAGCAGAGATGTGTTGAAGGTTTCAAAGATGGTGTTTTGAGCATCGAGCAGTTAGTTGCTGTTGATGGGTTATGTGAATGGGTGTTGAAAGCTATCGGCGCATCGGATCCGGTTCATACTTACAATATCAATCTATCGGTTTTCACTTCGATTCCTGATCTCTGGGGGATTGATCAGCTGTTTCCTATTGTTCCTATCCATAAGCTCGATCAACGGCCAGGGGCTCGTGGGATCTTATCTGATTTGACGTGCGACAGCGATGGGAAGATCGACAAGTTCATAGGTGGTGAAACCAGCTTGCCGTTGCACGAGCTGGACAACAATGGCAATGGAGGAAAGTATTTTTTGGGTATGTTCCTTGGAGGTGCTTACGAGGAGGCGCTCGGTGGAGTCCACAATCTGTTTGGCGGGCCAAGCGTTGTCCGGGTTTCGCAGAGCGATGGACCACACAGCTTTGCAGTGACCCGAGCTGTGCCTGGTCAGTCCTCAGCCGATGTTCTCCGAGCAATGCATCATGAACCCGAGCTAATGTTTCAGACCCTAAAGCACCGAGCAGAGGAATTAATGCATACCAAAGGCGGTGACAATGAAGGCGGAGAAGAAGAAGATGATGACGAGTACAACAATGTCGCGGCTTGTCTCGACCGTTCGTTCCATAACATGCCGTATCTCGCGACAGAGCCGGGATCTCTGAGTAACTCTCTTTCAGCAGCGATCAATAACCTCGGATTTTACTACTGCGACGAAGACAACTTCGATTACTGCTCTGCCTAAGAGAGTGGTGGTCGTTGTGGTTTGTTGTTGCATTTCTACTATCGTAAAAATCGTCGTTGTACGATTTCTTAAGTTTCTTTCAATAAGTGGATTGTAATCATATGATCCATCGTTGTTTAAGGTTTTTAAGTTAAGAGGATCCGAATAATGGAAGCACTTTTGTAAAATTCGGAGCCTTTTCAACGATGAACAACTTGCAAAATCTTTGTCTGCCCATTAGGCAACAACTTCATTCACTCTATTATAATTCCTAAGTTTTTTTTCATACCCATGAATTGTGTGCTACAAATTCGTTTGACTATATCATAAGAGGAAATTTGCAAAAATATTACAAATTTTTTATGTATTTTGAAAACTAATCCATGTTTTCGAGACTATGAACGTGAAGGACGGCTAGGTTAGTAGCATATATAATGGCCGGGATGTCCAAGGAAATCTTCAACAGTTTTCTTCATCTTCGCTAGGACTAGAGCTCCGATGTGGCTGGGAGAATACATCTCTCCATGTGATTCGATCCAAGCATCACCACTTGTCATCTGCTCCAGACCGACATCGTAAGATCTCCCCATAAAACGCTTTGCCCCAAATATCGTGTTTATCACATCTCTGGTCGCCTTTGCTAGTTCGCCAACAAGAAATTAATGATTTTCGTTGAAAGTAACCATCGAGGGAGTGGTTCTCTTCCCTTCAAAGTTCCTAATGATTCTAGGAATCTACAAAAAAAAAAGCAGAAAATTTCAGAATAAGAAGAGACAACTAGATAAACCCATTTTAGCAATTGAGATATGAGAATCTGCTAGATAAACTCTTTTGTGACAATTAAATAAAATGTACATAACCAGTTCACAACATAGTTAATGGAATGAATAATACACAACATATTGTAATAGAAAACTAATCCATGTTTCCAAAAATTTGGAAACTAACATTTTGCAATAAAAATTATCAAAAATATTTCAAATAAATCGAATATATAAAGTATTTTTTAAATCAAATTTTGTTATCAGTGGATAATTACTTCTATTATACAACAATTTACAAAATAAAAAAGATATCATTTATCGTGATCAATTAAGAAAAAAAATTGCACATAAAAAAATTCACATGTGAAAAGATTAAGAATGGATAAAATTTATGATTTGTGTTCAAGTTATATAATGTTTAGTTCATTTAATTTAGTTGATTGTAGAATAAGAGAAAATCGTAGAATAATGAAAATGTCATAAAATGTGAAACATTAAACAACATATATTTAAATTGATGGTGTAACTCATGCACAATCATAAGAGACATGAGACACTGATGATTTTAGCAAATGTATCAGATTTCTTCTACGACCAACTGATGCAATGTTTATTGATAAAAAATCTTGTACATTACTATCTCAACTTGCTGTTATAGATTGTCCTAAAAAATTTTAGAGATTCGATTGGAAAACGATTTTCCGTTTATACTATATTTTAATCTATTCCAGTCACTTGAAACAAAGATACAATTGTGCTAATTTGAGAGCCATTTAAAGTATTATTGGTCAAACGTTTATCCAATTTATTTCAAAATATACTTTTTATTTATAAATTCTCAAATGTTATGAAAAAATGTTGTCTTAAAACTTTAAGAATGTTAGTTTTAAAAACTTAAAAACATGGATTACTTTTCAAATTACATAAATTATTGGATTATCAAACCAAACATCTCCATATAATAATGTAGTGATTAATAAATATTGTTATAGGGATTAGGTTTCGCCGCATCATAAACCGTGATGGTTGTTGTTGTGAGTAAACGAGTGAGTGTGACAAGTGACTACACAAACATGTTCCATATGGTAAGATTCTGACATGTTGTGTGTCATGTATTAGGCTTTGGGAAGAGGTTGAATGATTGATATGTGGCTCATGTTTGTGTTTTTTTAGGTGATTGTAGCATTATCGAATATTTTCTTTTTATTTTTAGGGTCACGGATCTATCGAACAAATTTCTTTCTACGTGGAGGTAGAATTTGGACCCGTATTTTGTTTGTTTTACAAAAGGAAAAAAAATAAAATCAAATGCATATTCGAGATAATGGGTTGTTTTCATTGTAATTGTCCGATTGTTGGCGATCATGCAATCCCAAAACAAAAACAAAAAGCATATAGTTATAAAACGAAAGGATTATAATTTTTTTATTTTGTCCTCTTTCACGAAAGGATTATAATTTAAAGGCAACTTTTTTGACAAATATGGTATAGTATCCTTATGGTTCTGTCATCATTTTGTAGATGACCGTGCAAAAAATTTCATTAATCTTCCCACAACAAAATCTATTTTCTTTACTTGACATTGTAGCCGTTTCCACCACCGTGTGATTGAAAATTTGCGACAAAAAATGAGGTAGGTAGAAGAATCAAATCCTATAACATCTTTGCTTTGAATTTAGCAATTTGGATTGAAACCGGTTTATTATTTACAAAAAATGTTTTAAAAATCGGACCGGACATCGATTCGTTATTGTTATTGGATGGCTGATCGGACCAGTTTAACTGATTAAACCGGGTTTTTAATAATTAAAAATATAGATATGTATAAGAAATAGACAAAATAAAACTAAAAAGAATAAACCAAAATCAACTTACAAAAATTTTATATAATATAGTAATTATCATAAAAATATATGTCAAACCTAAGGAGAATGCATTTTTTCAATCCAAAGAATATTTGCAAATAATAAATCATAAAACGTAATTTCAAAATCTTCATTATTGTCTCTCCTTTTTCTTGAAATATATGCAAATGTTCAATCCAAAGAATACATTGTCTCTCACTTTTTTCCTGAAATTTTTCCATTTATTCGTTTTCACCAATGAAGACAAATTATAATGCATATTAG